TTCGCCAAGTTTACCTTCAATCTTAGCTTTTGTGGTTGCACCATCCTACGAGCAAGCACAAATTCCAAGTTCCTAACTCCGAGAGCAACTTCTTCATCTGACATTCTCTCGGAATTGTTTATGTTATTCACGCCATCTCTTCACCTTCAGTGAGAGTGAGAATGTGAGACTACTCCACCTCGGGCTGTCAAGAATTTCATGCCATCTCACAATTTTTGCAAATCTTATTGATCTGAGCCCAACAACAATTGAACTACTGTCCACCACATGAGTTAATGGACACAAGGGAAAGCGGGTTACAAAAGGTCCACGTAACAGAAGTATAAATAAATGAAGTCAAGCTATATTTTAGCGTAAATGAACTAAGTTTATGTAAATAATTTTAGAGTTTTATAACAGTTGTGTTGTAAGAAAGTGTAATGTTATAGAGATTCGTTTTGCGTGCCTTAATTTTTTATTTATTTTTTTGTTTTAAAAAGTGTAGGCCCCACAAAATGTCGTGAGTGTAAGAAAATTTGTTGTATTATGTTAAAAGATAAAACGAAAACCCATAATTTTAAGCTTGGCTTGTTAGGAACTCATCATTATGTTAAGTTGAATATGTTAGCTGAGTGTTATTTTCTTAAGAAGTGTTATTTTAATCATTAATAATTATTTTCTTGGAATATGAATTTTTTTCAAAATACCCTTTATTTTTCCCCCTAATAAAATAACATCTAAGTTTATCTCCCAGAAGAAATACTAAATTCTATAAAATTTATATATTTTGACATAATTGGATGAAATTTTACTTCGGGCTAATATGTTTATTTATTTTGAGTTTAATAAATGGAAAATTATTTTCTTCCAGCTGTAGGAGAAAACCTGTGCTAGCATTTTTTTTTTCTTTAGCCTGTAGATCCCATATTTCTTGTTTCAACAGGAAAAAAAATCTTTAAGTGAGAAAAATATTTCCCTTAATAAATTTATACGAACCACAACTTTTTATTACCTTTATGACAGTTGATAATGTAGAAATGTAAACTTTGTCATCATTTAATCTAGCATCAGGGGTTATCATTTTATTACGGCTTAAATAAGTTTTTGGTTTTTATAAATATATTATTTTTCAATTTTTGATTCTCTTTAACCTTTTTTCATAGCTTCTTTCCACTCCCTCCAATTCAAAGGGCTCAAATATGAACTCAGTTCATCAAATACTCGTTCATTGAAATCAACCTGATCCGTCGTGAACCTAGACGAGTTGGTGGACCTAGATAGTGCTGGCACCATAGACGTAAGTTGTGATGGTACAATTGTAGAGCAAGACAACCACTAAACATTACTATGACAATATGAATTTATCTACCTTCAGCCATAGTGTATAACGTAAAAAATGAAGAAGATCAATTTCACAACAACCAAACCTCTTCAATGAAATTGTATAGGCTTTGATATGAGCCCACGGTGCATCAATCCATTAAAGCCCAATGGCTAAGGCCCAATTGAAGCAACATCAGCAAAAGATATGGAGTCAGAATATGAGTTGCATGCAAGTGTAAAAGAAGAGATGGATCCAAAGGAATCTGAAGTGGAGAGATCTATCGCAGAAAAAAGACCTAAGAGAATGATTAGAAGACCAGGCAAATTCGAAGATTAAGTTTAGCACACCCTCAAGTGTTAAACATGGTGAAAGCACATTTTTGGTTGTAATAATTCAGTTAGAATTCTGTTACATCATCAACGGCCAATAACCGTTTAGTAAATAGGTTGCATGTGTTGTTTTGTTGTTCTTCCTATCTCTGTTGAACCCCTTGAGTATAAAGAGGGCAACATGAGTGTAATCAGCATTCACTGAATAAAAATAAGAAGTTTCTTCTCCTCTGTTCTTACTTCTTTTCTCTCCTTCTCTCCTTGATAGAACGTGACTCTATCAGGCTTATTCCACATCCTGAGGAATATTCTGATTTGTTAACCATATATAGAACTAGGGGTGTGTGTATGGGATGAATTGAATTGAATTTTTTGAAAAACTGAACCGAATTAATTTAAACGGTTTGGTTCGAAAATGGTTCGGTTTAGTTCAAAACAGGTTCGGTTCAGAATCGGTTCAGGTCGACCATCTTCTTAAAATAAAAAAATAAAAAAAATAAAGTAATAAAAAACGGTTCAGTTAGATTCGAAAATGGTTCGGTTCAATTCAAAAATTGTTTCATTCGGTTTAGTTCTTTAACTCGTTTTAAAAATCAATTCGGTTCATGAACTGGTTCTGTAAAAACTAGTTCGATTCATGAACTGATTTTTAAAAACTGGATATTTTAAGTACAGTTTGGTTCAATTCATGATTCGATTCAACTTTTTTGTTATTTCGCACATCCTTATATAGAACTCCTCGATGTTATTTACCAAGGTCAGGATTATTTACGTTCCCCTCTATTAGACGAATCAGGTGGATAATGAATTTGACCAACTTCTTAATAGTAAGAAACATTAATAATATTAAAGTCGAATTCCCATTATGAGGATTCACCAAGTGTTGTGCTCCTGCTATATTATTCAGTCCGCCAACATGTTGGGCCAGAGTTGCACATGTATTATTTAATGTAGTCGTTAAAGGTTAAATGGAAAAAAGTTAATTGGATTTGAGAAGATGTTCCGAGTGTCATTAGACTCAAATTCATCATTGACTCGCTCGGAATAATAAATTAATGGGTCACGAGTTGAATTGTTTATATTGATTTTATTATAGTTTTGTAAAAAATATAAATATAAAAAAAAGTAATAAAACAAATATAATAATATGGTTTATTGATTAAAGTAGTCTGATTTAGTGTTTAATCAGTCGGATCGATCTATTTGATATGATTCGATTTTAATAATATGTGTCTCCTTACCATCTCAATCCCTAAGTATCCATAAGTTAGTCATCCCTGCCATTTCTTATAGAGTTTTTCACGACATCACCCTCACTTTATAACTCTTTTCCAGATGACTTGAACAACTATCACTCGTGGATCCTTGAAGACAAGGGGATTGTAAAACATATGTATGAACCATTATCAAAAGTTTTATGATACACACAATCTTTTTAAAAAGGGCAAGTGCAGAGCATATTTGCTTTTTAGAGAGGAGATTCTGATAATAATATTATACTTGGGTTTCAGAAAGAAACGAGAAACTTAGAAAATATTTATGGATAAGAACACACTAAATTTAGTTCTAGTTCTAGCTCTCCCCTTCTTACACACAACAAGCTTCCTTTTACAGACAAGGAAGTAGATTACAAATGTCACAGCTTACAACATAAGTAATGACACATCAACAACTACTTTTGACAAAATACTGCAATCCAAAACCTAAAAAGTAGCTTTTTGAAAAAACACACTACAAGCGAAAATGATAAAGTAACTTTTGACGTTAGTTCACAACAATTCAAATTATTAAAGTAGCTTTTGTAAAGTAGCTTTTATAATGCAGCTTTTGACTAAAGTGGCTTTTCTAAAAATGATTTTTGTCTTTAAATCATCGTTGTGTAGGATTGATTGGCTGGGTGTCAGATTGAGTTCTCTTTTTTTTTCTTCAGAATTAAGACTACCATAGAAAGTATCATACTAAGGATGATCAATTTTTGTCTTTTCTTGCATGATCTCATTCATGATCTATGCATTAAGATCTTGAGAATATAAAAATAAGAATTGAACTCTTCAGGCCTGACTAATTCATCAACAATATTATGAAAATGAATTTCTTTTGGGCCTTGTGATGAACTTGGGTCAACTAGGTCAGAAGGTGTAATAGTATATCCATTTACCTCTTTCAGATGCTGAGATAATTGAATCTTATAGATTAAATCTATAGGATAATCTTGAAATGTGTTATACATATAGGCAATATTTTGAGACCATAAGAGTCCATTTGGTTTCTGCTAGTAAGGACGATGAACAATGACAATGATGGTTACCTTGGCAATCTGTTCGTATGTCTTACCACTGATTTCTTGGAAATGGATGATATTGTATATTCTCTTCTCCACCAAGATAATGGAGAAAACCATTACATGACTGTCCACAAATAGTGGTCCTGTTTTTTGGATAAGTGAGGATATTGTATGTATCCTGTACTTTCAGGGCTATTGGGACGGAATATTGGATCGTGATGCACCATATACTCCAAAGATTATTTTCATATATATCAAGACCTGGCTTGCAAAATAATTCAAATATTCCTAAGAGTAAAACCCATTTTGGGTCTCTAACAAAAAATACGGTCTTCACTTTAGTCCCTTACAAAAAAAAATTAGTCCCTACGAAATTCAAAGTAGACTCATTTTAGTTCTTTTGAGGGACTAATGTGGGTCTTTTTTGAATTTGTGAGGGACCACAATTTCAATTAAATGGGTCCACTTTGAATTTCTTAAAGATCTCAGGATTAATTTTTTTTGTAAGGGACTAAAGTGGGGTCCGTATTTTTTGTTAGTGACTCAAAATGGGCTTTACTCTATTCCAAAATAAGGAACTTTAAGATCAAAATCTCCACGTGTGACATGTTTCCTGCTTATGGTTTTATAGAGTTGATAAAAATAATAAGTTTTGGCAAATTCTTGAACATCCACAATTGAAGTAGATTGTCTTAATTTAGTAGGAAAAGTTTTTTGCGATCTGGCTATCTTGGGCAAATGATTATTCATGAATATGAGAGGAAAATATTTATTTTGGAAATAGCTTGGACAATATTGGGAGGTCTAGAAAGAAAATATAGGATTGTATTGAGATATGTTTGATAGTGAAATCATACCTGAAAAACTAATCTTTCAGTCTAAGAATCTGAAGATCTAGGTGCCTTTTCTTTTTGAATTCGAGTATCTTTGGGAAAGATGAATTATCCATCTGGACTTCAAAACTATGAACTCGAAGATGGAAATCAAATTTCTTGATTCTATTTTTTACTGCCAATGCTTCTTTAAAGTGTGTATGGTAATGCTTCTTAGAGTCTTTGAATTATCCACTAGTGTTGCCACAATACTATCTTTTATGATCAACTTCTTCAATGAGAATAGCACCCCAAAAATGATCATTAGCATCAGTTTGGAGGATTATTTTGCCTATTCCTAGAATTTTCAAAACCGGAGGATTTTGAGCTATCTTCTTAAGCTCTTGAATAGCTTTGGTCTTTTCAGGACTACAAGGAGGAGAATTCTTTTTCAATAACTTGGAAAGCTGACTAGTGTGTTTGGCTACATGAGGAATGGAATCTCGGATGTAGTTGAGAATTATGAGAAATTGTTGAACTTGTTTGACTATAAAATTATCATTAGAGAACTTGAGAAGTTCTTTACCAATGTATGGTTGTGGTTGATACATTTCTTGAGATAAATGCATGCCCAGAAAATTAATTTCAGATTGAGCTAAGGGTGTGTTTGGTACAAGAGAAATTTTTTGGTGACCGGGAATCATGATTAATGGAAATACAGTAGAAATTGAGTTTACTTGGAATCTTACGAAAGAGGAGTTTGGTTCGCCAAAATATTACCGGGAATATTGGGTAAAAATTATTGATTCCATATTTGGTTTGGAACGAAATATGACTTGGAATATGAGGTTATTTTACAAAAATAACCCCAAACTATTTTTACTTTTGTAATTGATAGATTGGGTCTAGATTTTTATGTGTATTGGGGTATTTTTGTCTCAAAATTTATTGTTGTGCTTTCCCTTTACTTGGTATTCTGATTGGTATTCTGAATTACCATATTATTTTTGGTAATCTGAATAGTGACTTTTCTTTATAAATCAAATTACTGGTAATCCTTGGATATCCGGGAATCGTAATTTATTCCTTCTACCAAACGTGGTAATTACATTTACCAAAGAAAGATTACCGGTAATCTTCTTCAAAAACTTGAAACAAACACCCCCTAAGTGGATCTTTTTCTCTACTAACATGATTCCATGCTTTTCAACCAATCCCACAAATTTATCAAGCAAACTTTTGTCAGTCTCCACATCTTTTGTGAATAGTAGGATGTCATCTGTATAGATGAGTATAATATCTAAGATATGATCAAGTATTACAGTCATTGCCTTTTGAAACAGTGAAGGGGCAATCTTGACACCAAAATGGAGTACTTTCCATTGGTACTGTGCATTTGGAATATAGAATGCATTTTTGTATCTATCAGCAGGATCAACACCGAGCTGCAAGAATCTAGATTTGAGATCATACTTTCAAAAATGTGAACATCTTGATCAAACTGGAAGTGTTGAGGCTTTTGGGATAGAAAATTTATCATCTTGTAGGAAATGATTGAGTGGCTTATAATCAATTACCAACCTCTTTTTGCCTTAAAGTTTTTCTGATCTTTTTTCTACATAAAAAGCTTGACATGCCCATTGAGATTTAGTTGATTCAATCAGGCCTTGTTTCGGGGGTTCTTAATATTCTTTTCTAGCCAGCTGGAGATCTGAAGGGGTCATTTCTGGCTGAGCCTCCTTCGTAGGATTAATATCCTCATTCAGTTTAAAGGGAAGTTGGATGAAAAACTCTTCATTTTTTCATAAAAGATTACGATGAGAAAATCCTTCGTGATTGTCAACACAAAGAGGCTTGAGCCTTTCTTTGATATGGTTAAGATTAGATGGTGCTTCTGAGAGTGCATACAATCTCATTTTTTCTGATGAAGATTTGAAATCTCTTTTGAACATCATACCATAAGGGAGAATCTTGAGTCTATCAGCAGCGCAATAGACGTCCATGCCAATAAGAATATCTTTGTTTCGCATTTTGATTCCAATAATTTTGGTCCAAACAATACATTCAGGGAAATTTTTTATCCTAATAGGATGTTTAGTGACCAATTCACTTTTGAAAACTTTCCCATCAGTTATGACAAATAAGCAGCTTATTTTTTTTTTCATGCTTATGGTGGTAGAATCTTTGGATCCATCATAAATTTTTGAGCTCCAGTATCCATATAAGCAATTTCCTGTTTTTGATACTCAAATTTGGATGGAAGAATTTGAACTTCTACACACGGTTGTGGTATAGCATGGCTGATATGATGAACTTCATGTGTTGAAAAGATTGGATATCATATTTTGAGAAATTAGATTCTCAGGAAGAGTCTTGAAGAGCAAAGATTATTTTTTCATCTCCAGAACTTTGTTAAGAATACAATAATTCTGCATCATCATGGTTAAGATGTAAAGCATTAATCATCTTTACTTCACTTGTTGGAACAATTTTTTGCGTAATGGCCTTGCTTCTTTCCCCTGAATTTCTTCTTCTTGAAGAATCTGATTTTTTACTGCTCTGTCTCCCATCTTCTAGCATGTCAGATGGTCCGTCCGAGACACTGCCGGGAATTCCATTCTCCACTCCTAAGGCATCAGCCCACGTCTTTGGGTTAGTCTTCTTAGAGAAGTCTTCCGTGAAACCCAAATTTACTTCCTTAAAGGTTGTCTTCGGAGAAGACTCAGCTCCATTCTTTGATCTCTTCAAGCGTGTCCTCACTCCAGATATTGAAGAAGCCACCTGATTGAACTCCATTTTCAATTTTCCATGTTGCTCGAAGTTTTAGCAGAGAAAGAAAGCATGCGCGTGTATACACTCGCCTAAATCATTGTTCATGCAAGCTCATATCTATTTGGGAAAAGTATAACATAGGCCCAAAACTTAGAAAATATCAATATATTTCTAGCCCTTTAAAGGCAGAGTGGTCTTAGTTATTATCAATTCATCAATGGTAATATATGTCTTCATTGCAAACATTGAATAATCAGATACTGTATCAAAATGCATCTTTATCCATCAAGATATGCATAAATACTAAATTGCTAGTTGAGACCCACAGCAATTAAGGGCAAGCTAATTGACACCCACTCGAATGTCTGCCATCATAAGCGTGGGACACTAAATCATTGATTTTTTTTGTTTAGAGGCTTATTTTTGCGTCATGATTCAATGCAACTTGTGACGGTGTGGCTCAAGCTGATAAGATTTCATATTGCCATAGTGGTTGAAGCATGTATAGTCCCAAATCCAAAAAGTGATCAAAACGTAGGTGGAGGCGTTAATGGAATTGATTACCACACCCGTGATATAGAAATAAAGCAAACTTTATTAGTGTTGCATATTGATCCTGATTTTAAATGACATAGCAGCATGTGTGTGTCTTGTGCATATCAACTTTTCTCTACATCTAACTTACCCAATTCACCCAATTTTGTTTTTCTGTTCCTTTCCCTCTCTTGGAGAAAGTTCTTCCTGAAACTTAAGCCCTTCAAGAACTTCTTAAGGTAAGATCGCCAAATATATATCATTACATAACATCTTATCTTATTAATTGGAATAGGTACTAATTTTTGCAACAAATGGTGTCCCATTTTTAAGTTTTGTGTACTACAGGAGTGGAAAAGCATGGAAAATTACCAGATGACAAACAAGGATATGAAAGTTCAGATTCCACCTAGGAGTGAGGTCATGTCAAGTACTGGGGTGGAGCTTCAAGGGGCTACTACTGTGGGACAAGGTGGCCTTACGAGACAACCTAGTATGACCAAGACAAATTGCCTATGCTCTCCAACCACACATGCTGGTTCATTTCGTTGCAGGCTTCACCGTACAACTAGTCTCCATAGGACCAAAAGCACGGAGTCAGAATCCCTTCGTGATCAAGCATCTATGGTTCATGCTTCCTTGGTTGAAATCGTGCCTGAGCTCATGCCAACTTATGATACTACTCACAGTGTCAACAAGGATCGGATGCATTGAATTGAATGTTAAAGAGTATTAAACTGCTGTAATTTCTTCAGTCTACTGCTTAGGCGAGTTAAATTTACTATAGTATGAAATCTTCTTTCTTTTTTTGTTGTCTTTGTGGTATTCATGAAACACAATACCATATTGTGTAAAGAAATTTACCATGTTGACATTGAATGGTTGTGAAGAACTACTATGTTCATGACTGCAGGGGTGGTTCCAAAACTCAATTTGGTCTCTAAGCATAATGAATAAAAATCCCTTCATTGATTCTGAAATTAAAATTTTCAATTTTTTATAGTTATTTTGATTTTTTTTTTTGTCTATGAGAAAAATGTTGTTTTACTATAGATTTGGGTTCACATTAAATCTCTGAACAAAACATTATAAGCTAAAGATATAAAGTAGAGTTATATTGACAATTTTTTTTTACAAACTTACAGACTACACTATGTCTAACCGGTATTAAATTATTTAAGAGTGTATTACCGGTCAGACATAGTGTAGTTTGTAAACAAAAAATTTATAAATATAACCTTCTCCAAAGATATAATTAAATTATGGTGAATTCGATTCGTTACAATCATAACTCTTGGGAAGGGTGGAAAGACTTGCATCCAAAATTGAATTAATATGGTCTGTTTAGGACTTCGGATACTGCTTAATTTCCAAAATAAATATGTATTCTAAAATTTACTCTATTGATATGTTGCCGTTCCCTGGATTTACCTTGAACCCTGAGTCTATTGACAAAACTTTCCTTGACCTTTTTACCCTTCTGAGAATAACTAATGTTCTGCCGTGGGCAGAGGTGTCCGACCGTAAGTCGGTTGTTTGATGTTGGATCTATAACTTTCTCTCTAGATACCTATGGATTAGGTATCTTGGGGACTGTAAGAACCCGCATCGTTAATTAAGGGATTTAATTAATTAATTATGTGAAATTAGGAAATAATTTCATAATTGATCCTAATAATTATTATGAGGCTTTAATAATTATAATTAGTGAGTAATAATGCTGAAAGTCGCTTTTCTGACGAAAAGTGCAGACACCGGTTCTGCTAGTCGGTATAAATGCGTACCGAAAAAGTATCCCGGAAAATTATAATAAGTGTATGAAAATTACTAGAATGATATGTAGGACTTGTAAAACGAGTTTCAAGTCCAGATAATGAGAACTGGTGCTAGAAACCAGTACTGGCTTGGAAAAACGCGTACTGGAAATGTGCTCAGAAAATTATAAGAAAAATATGATAATTCTTGTAAAATTGAGTAGGTTAGAAATCCTGAGTTTGAGATTAAAATGCTAAGCGTAGCAATTAAAGTTAATACTGCGCGTTCATTCTTAAGTGGGCCTATATAAGGCCATGGCACACATTTCTAGGTCAGAAATGGTGCCTCCTACGTGACATTTTGAGAGCTTGGCTGCTGCCACCCTTCTCCTTGGTCACCTTTGCATGAGAAACCTCCAAGTCTTCACCTTTTCTTCTTTGTTTCACCATCTAAACACTTGGTTGAGGGTGTGTGAGCCTTGTGAAGGAAGTGTGTGTTCCTTTCTGAGTTGGAGAGGTTGTTGGTGAGGTGTTGAGGGGCTGAGTTGGTG